AGAGAATACCGGCATTAATTCTAATTACGTTATGCAAGATAGATGGGCTAAGGGGACAGGAAAAGTTCAGGAAAAATTCAGGAAGGTAACGTATTTCAGCAAGTACAGTGGTACCTCGCTTAACAATTGCCTTGCTTAATGAGGAAATCGCTTGACGATTAGGTTTTTGCGATCGCAAAAGCAATCGCAAAACAATGGTTTAAATGGGAAAAATCCACTTCACGATGATTGGTTCCCTGCCTTGGGAACCGATTTTTGCATTACGACAATCCAAAAACAGCTGATTGTCAGGTTGCAAAATGGCCGCCGGGTGTACAGAATGGCCCCCCGCTGTTTTCTATGACGGATTCCTCGCTTTACAGGCACCAAAAATGGCCGCCCCTATGGAGGATCTTCGCTGGACTGTGAGTTTTCAACCCATTGGAACACATTGAAGGGTTTTCAGTGCGTTTCAATGGGCTTTTTATTTCGCTTAATGAGGATTTCGTTCTACAGTGATTTTGCTGGAACGGATTATCCTCGTTAAGCGAGGCACCACTGTATTATATTGAGGGCATAGACTTTTTTTAACATGTATATCTATAACCCCTTTTGATAAAGACATTTTCTGAGTAATAGAAAACAGTAATCAAGAAATTTCCTACATGAAGTGGAGCCCAAACTTCACCAACACAGTGGCACTATTTAAAAGAAAATGAACCCAACCCATTCAGAGAACATGTCCTGTCACTAGCTATCTCCTAGTAGCTTCAGCTGCAGCACAGAGGATACGGGATTATAATCTAGAGTTAAAGTAAGAGAAAGACATTCCCCAAAGGACTCTGCACAAGCAAACATTTGCTGCAGGTTTTCACAAGGGAAGTTACTCACATTAATGGTAACCGCTGCAAAGCTCCTGTTATACAGTGTAGTCTGCCATACATTGGAAATGAAGCAGCCGCCTCTAGTAAAGATTTCTCAGCATGTAACACCTCTTCTTCAAGGTTTTTCAACAAGTACTTGGTAACTTTAAATGTACAGAAAGAGAGAAAGCAGAATGGTCACACCTGAAGTCTTGGTAAAATGTTGTTCTCACTTTCAGGTGAGAAATTGGAAATGTTTTACAGTATTTCCAAAAAACTCATTGTGGCTGATGATGTCATCAGCCTTACATAGTGCAACTTAAGCAACAGGATTTCAAACATTTAAAGTCAAAAGGGACGTTCTTCAAGACATGATATACTATTTATATTTCTAGTAGTTGTACTGAAAGAAATTGACAGGAAGCTGAGCAAAATCCTCTACTTTTCCTCCAATTAAGGACATGTGGCAGAGGAGACAGTAGTTGTACTGAAAGAAATTAACAGGAAGCTGAACAAAATCCTCTACTTTTCCTCCAATTAAGGACATATGGCAGAGGATGCAGGCTGCATCCAAGGGTGACTTTGTATACTGCTGTTTCCATTAGAGCACTAATTTCTTTCAATCACCTGTACAATCTACTACATATCCTCATCTTGAGAAAAAGGCCACTGAGTTGACCCTATGCAACAGTGCAGAATATAGGATGGAGGACTACAGTATGTAAAGGTAATTGTTTGACGTGGATGCTTCACCTTATTCAAGCAGAAGTGCTGCAGTCTTCCATTCCGTATCCTCTACTGTTGCACAGGGAAGCTTAGTGGCCATTCTCTAGTGATGAGGAAAGGTTGTGGCATGTACAGGTAACTGGAAAAATTAGAGCCTTTATAGAAACAGAAGTTCTCTACATAGCACAAAGCCACCCTTGGATGCAGCCTGTAGTCTCCTCTGCCGTATGTACTGTTTAAAGAAGTTTTTTAAGACATCTCCCTTCCTCCCCCTGGGTTAATTATGTATATGAGTTACCTGGTGTCCTGCTATTACAGTGGTGCCCCCAAGACGGTGTTAATTCGTTCAGAGAAAATCACTGTCTTCTGAAAACATCATCTTGCAAAATGCGGGTTCCCCATTGGAATGCATTGAGATCCATTTAATGCGTTCCAATGGGGAAAAAATCGTCGTTTTGCAAAAAATCGCCCATAGAGAAACCATTTTGCGAAGTGCCAATCAGCTGTTAAAATCGCTGCCTTGCGAAAAACGGTCCCGAAAACACCCGTTTTGCAAGTTGCGGACTCAGCTGTCAAAATCGTCATCTTGCGCAAATCAATCCCGAAAAAAAGTCTTGCGAAGCACAGTCCGAAATATTGTCCAGCGAAAATCGCCCATAGGAAACACCATTTTGCAAAGTGCTACAGTGATCGCAAAAACTCATCATCTAGCGAATTAACCATTTTGCAAGGTAATCATCTAGTGGGGCACCACTGTATTTAGGTTTCAGTTAGGTTTTGGTTTCTGCTTTATATAAACTATCTTAAACTTCAGAATATATATTTTATTTCAGTCATTGCCATGGCCTTCAGTGGATGCAACAGCAGCCTTCAAAATATAACAACAGCTTGAAAACATACTTCCTCTTCTGCCTTATACTGACCAGCCAATGTGTTTTCCTCCACTGGGTCAGCAGATGCATGCACTTCTGGCTGAAATGTGTTCAGTGATAAATTATTTTTTAAGGAGATCTTCAGCAGACCTTTGTGAAGTATTAAGAAGTTCAATAAATAGGAAGCAGTCACACAATCATATGGTTTGGTACTTTTGCTGAGATCCATTGCGACTTGAAATAATGGCTCCAATGTTTCAGAATCCTGAATTATGAAACAAAAAGTTAAACATTTTAAGTATAAGTTTCTTGAGTTTATTACTGATATTTTATCTAACCAGTGCTCTTTGCTAAGCACTGTTGAAAAGATTATATTACTGTTAGACAGTAATAGCAAATCTCACAGGAAAACATTTTTAAAACCAGCTACTAAGAATCACTATGATGGATACAAAAGTAGACTGCAGTAATTAAATCATTAGATATGTGTTGCTGATGGACAACTAGGACCAGCTCCTGATGAAAACACTGATATATACAGAAGAAGCAGAAACCTTATTGGTAGATCGGTGAGTAGGAGGTGTTTGGGGCACACCACCTACCAAGTCCATTTCCAACAAGCCCTTCCAGGAAAACTAGTTCTCATGTAGTGCACTAATATCAACCTATTCAAACTTTCCCCTCCTTCTTCCTTTAGTGACAGTTACAACATTTTTAAATGGCACACAACAATCCTATATATAGTTGAACAACCCATATTTTCCTTCAACGTCTGAAACAAACTTCAACTCAAGCTTTGAAAAAGTCAAGAAGCCAAGTCATCATTCCTACAGTATTGAATGTGAATCTGTTTTGTAACCCAAATGACCATACACCTCCCATTTTCTATTATCATATAATTATTTACTCTGACTTCAAAATGTGCCAGTATCTATTTGTACCTGAAAATAAGGCAATGCAGGACAAAGCTTTATTAGGAGATCAAACGCCAAGATCTTCACTTCTTCAAAAGTGCTGGCAAAACAGTGGAGTAAAGTTTTAACACGAGTAGGATCAATCTCTTGGGATATCTGAAACAATTCCTGGCTCTGGCCTGTTTACAAAGAAAATCAACATCCCATTCCATCAGAACACAGTGTTTTGTTACAGATTTTAAGGTAAAATTTAATTCATTCTTTTACATTTATGGCAGAGATAAGAGAGCAGCCTTACAGACAACATGGGCTTCGACTTTCATTAACCTCAGCCAACAAAGCCAAGGAACACGAATGACAAGAACTGCAACCCAACAACTGTATTCCCATTATATT